GCTCAGTTGTAGAGCATTGCGTTAGCAGCGCAAAAGGTCCTGGGTTTGATTCCCAGGGAACACACATACTGGTAAAAAATGTATAACCTGAATGCACTGTAAGTCGCTTTGGATAAAGTGTCTGCTAAATGCATAAATTAAAATTATAATGCAAAGATGTTCTTAAGTTTAAGTGTGGCTTAAGCAGACAAATACTGTTTGAATGTGATATGACCGTTTATTTCTGATATACAAGACAGAAGCCAACAAGGGGCTTATTGTGATTTTTTCGTACACTAATTTACTGCTGGGTTCCTATGAGTATTTCAATGCTATCTCTCATTTTTATGGGTTGGTCAATCACAGTCTGGGTAACGGAATGTTCTCCATTGCAGACTTTGTTCGCATTTCATCTGGAGACGGGTCAAAAAAGGCATGTTTCCTTTTTACTGTTTCAGCATAACTGCTTTTGTTTTCGATTCACTGAATAAAAATCGTGTATCTTATTTCATACCTCTGCATTCAATAGAAACACTCTGGAGCCTGAGCATGCGGCCAATTTTGCGCTCAGTGGACACAGTGACAGATGCTCCACCTTGCCGAGCAATGTGCCAACAACTCTACCTGAGGCAATTACACCTGGAACACAGATGTCATGTTTGGGAGATGAGACTAAAAAGTGACTGACAGAGAATAATGGCTACATTCTATTCCAGAGTAGAGCATTCTTAAGTGTCACAGTTTTATATGCTCTGCAGACGAGCAGATTTTTTCAGTCTGTTTTTGAATCAAGGTCTTTGCATGCATTATTACCTTCTTTGATCTGTCTGTAGCAGCGATCAATGTCCCAGACAATAACATAATCTTCAGAAGCACTACAGAGGACGAGACGATCTCTCAATGTCCCAAACACCATGGCAGACACCTCGCCATGGTGACCAGTGAGTTCCAAGGGAGGCTACAGGAAACATTAAAATTACATTTATATATTTTTGTTCTGTAACAATTTAGTTCTATTAAATGTTAGAAATGATGGCACAATCATCTCTGATTTATATGTTTCCTCCCACACCTAGATACACTCACACATGCGCACGCACACACACACACACACACACACACACACACACACACGCCTGAGCATGCGGCCAATTTTGCGCTCAGTGGACACAGTGACAGATGCTCCACCTTGCCGAGCAATGTGCCAACAACTCTACCTGAGGCAATTACACCTGGAACACAGATGTCATGTTTGGGAGATGAGACTAAAAAGTGACTGACAGAGAATAATGGCTACATTCTATTCCAGAGTAGAGCATTCTTAAGTGTCACAGTTTTATATGCTCTGCAGACGAGCAGATTTTTTCAGTCTGTTTTTGAATCAAGGTCTTTGCATGCATTATTACCTTCTTTGATCTGTCTGTAGCAGCGATCAATGTCCCAGACAATAACATAATCTTCAGAAGCACTACAGAGGACGAGACGATCTCTCAACGTCCCAAACACCATGGCAGACACCTCGCCATGGCGACCAGTGAGTTCCAAGGGAGGCTACAGGAAACATTAAAATTACATTTATATATTTTTGTTCTGTAACAATTTAGTTCTATTAAATGTTAGAAATGATGGCACAATCATCTCTGATTTATATGTTTCCTCCCATACACTCATACACTCACACATGCGCACGCACACACACACACACACACACACACACACACACACACACACACACACACACACACACACAAGAAAACACATAAAGGAGTTGTCAGAATAGACTTGCAATGCTGGCTGTTAGTATATATGTTTGTTTGTCCTGTACTTGACACATGTAAATATTGTCACAATCTTTACTTGCATAATAAAAAAAAGAAATGATGGCACAAACACTGTAAAGCTAAATGGCTATATTTACTCATTTAACCCCGGAAATTGATCAAAAACAAAACAAATAGCAACATGAATATGGTATTGGTGGTACTTGCCTTCATTCATAATAACAAATATTTAAAATACACTATGTTTTTTCTACATTAACTTGGAAATTAAATGTGAAAATATATCATTTTAATGTTAGATGCAATTGATTACAGCAAAATGTGTGATTAATTAGTTATTTTTTTCAATCAATTGACAGTAATTATATATATTTGTTTGTTGAAAATAGATATAGGTGAACAAAGACCTCCAGGTTGTTGTTTTCGTAAATCCTTATACTCTTGTCCTGCCATGGGACAGCACAGTGAGAAGGACAGCAGGCCAGCTGCAGGTGGGACACTGGCTTGTTGCAAGTCACAGAGAACCTCTCAATAAAATACTGCACAGCAGCCATGGAGTCGCCAATAATCCCCTGTAACAACGCACAATGAGAAAATCTAAATAGAAAACCATGCTTAAATGTTTAGCAGGTCAAGATGACATCAAACTGGCCCAGTTAAGACGAATCCGCAGGTCGTCTGCCGGTTACCCACCTGCTTTTTTACTGACCATCTGTTGAAAACTAGCCTTACGGTTTTGTGGAAAGTGACATCAGCTGCAAAAGTATTCCATTCATTACCTGAAAGTAAAATGTATTGCTGTTTAAGTTTTACAAATGCAAACCATATATAATTATACTGTATGTAGAGTTAGGTAAATGAAACTCCAGTTTTTGGTCTGTGACCCAGCAGTTATTGCGTCCTTGTTGCTTTGGAAACGGGACGGCACACCAGAAGGGACAATTGCTAACGTGTGTACCAAAGTCTCTAAACTCGTGTGCTGTTGTTTTGCGTGTTTGGACGATTTGATTTGTTTATTTATTTATTTTGTGAGTACAGTGTACAGCGAAAAGAGTACATTCTGACACGATGTACGAATTGTGGAAGTTTTGTGGCTCTGGCTTACTGCAAATATAATTTAATGTCTATAAAAACAATGACTGTTGTTAAAGTCTGATATAAAGACAAATAGCTGACAACCCGACTGATTGATTTTACTTGGATACATCCGTATTATTCGTAGCGCCGCAGATCTGTTACCTGATTTATTATTTAAACAAACTTGTTCTGCACAAACTGTCCGACTATACCAGTAAAAAAGGCAGGTAATTCATTTTCTATGCAACGATGCCCTCTGGTGGTAAACTGCAGTCAGTCAGAATGTACATTGCAATTGAGTTACAGAGAACACACACACACACACACAGGTTTGTTTTTGTGAAAAGTGGGGACATCCCATAGGCGTAATGGTTTTTATACTGTACAGACCGTATATTCTATTGCCCTACACCAACCCTACCCCTAAATCTACCCCTTTCAGGAAACTTTGAAACGTTCAGATTTTCAATACACTCCATTCTGTGTGATTTATAAGCGTTTTGAAAAGTGGGGACATGGGGTACTGTCCTGAAAAGTCACCTTCTCCTTGTAATACCTATGTCATACCTTTGTCATTATACAAATGTATGTCCTCATTTCTCTCTCTCTCTCTCACACACACACACACACACACACAGTCTGGTCAGCTATCCTTGTGGGGACTCTCCATAGGCGTGATGGTTTTTCTACTGTACAGACCCTGTATTTTATTGCCCTACACCAAGCCTACCCCTAAACCTACCACTCACAGGATACTTTCTGCATTTTTAGATTGTCAAAAAACTTAATTCTGTATGATTTATAAGCTTTTGTACCCGTGGGGACCTCAATTTAGGTCCCCACCATGACACGAGTCCCCATGAGTCTGTGTGTAGTCAGGTTTAAGTCC